GGTACGCAGCCTGACAAAATTTTAGATGGTTAAAAAATCGAAACAATTCCGCAAAACGTTTGAATATATTTTTAAGCAAAAATTTCGACTTTTCTTGGTTAAAAATGACCTTTTGTGGCTATCAATCATAAACATACTCTCCTATACAGATTTTTGGAGATTTTACCGTTCTAGAACGTTGTTGAGCAGTGTAAGAATCTTCATTTGAGCTAACTATCTCATCAATTAACTAGGTGGATTCAGCGTAATTCTTGATTAACGAAAAGCCAAAATGACCTAAAATAAATTGCACAAAATAATTTTTATTCTGGTGAAATTTTCAGCATTTTCTTTTCACTTTTGTGTCATCTTAACTCTATTTGAAAAAAAGGCTTTGAAATTTCAAATTTGTTTGTTTATGTCCAAATAACTTCAATCAGCACTGTAGCATGATTTTTTGCTTTTTCTAATCCAAGACAATGAATTGATATTTCTGATAAATTCATTCAGTAAAAAAAGAGGTAAATCCAACAAAGAATTGATTTTTACCAATTTTTTTTTCATCTATTTGAAGCACTTGAGGACAGTATCGGATTTAAGGTGGCAGACGTTCCCAGTCCCTCGGGGACTCGACATCCTGCCTAACCAAAGCGTCCCCCATTGTTATAATTGCAGATATCCGTTAGTAGCTCACTGAGCCTAAAGTTTTTCTAAAGACACCTTCAACTCAATATAAACTAAATTTGAGGGTGAGCGCGCGCCGAAAAAACGGTTTGATGGTCAAAATTTTCCTAAAAGCGCCTAAAAATTCATTTAGGTCAACTAAATTTTCTAATTTTTTTGAAAATCCGCACCCCATAGATCCTTTGAAAACCTTAGATCCGACCCTGTTTGGGGACTCATAGCAAACAGCAATCATACTCCTGAATGATGGTCGAGTCCTTTATGATAAAGAAACCAAATGATGGAGTTTTAACCCAATCAGAACTGAGTTTTCAAACACCTCAAACAAATTGCCTAATGCATATTCACGATTTTTTCAAATTTTTCCAGACCGAAGCTGCATTGGAACACACGTAATTTTTCAAGAATACCGATTTAAGAGAAGTATGAAAACAAACTCAAACTTAACTATATCTGCAAGGGTTATAGATGCTATAACTTTTTACTGTTTGTTTTAACATAGGTTTTGTGTAGAAACGATTCACCGGAAAAACTTTTCTACTGTATCGAATTGATTGAAAAATTTCCATCGTTTGGGTTTTCCGTTATGAGAATAGCCACCCTAAATGGGGATTATCTCATGCGCGAATGACCGAATGCGCAAACAACTTCAATTAAACTACTGCTCTAACTAGTTATTATATGTTTTTAAAAAAATGAAAAGTTAGAAACATTGAAAACAGGTGCGGATTTAGAGGAGAGGATAGCGGGAGGAGGGGGGGGGGGGTTCCCTTCGGGAATTGGACCCTAACAAATACCAAAGGGTTTCCCCTCTGGACTGTTTACCTAAACTTCTTCAAAGGGCGCCTTTGGCATCGGTGTCTTTGGCCTTTGTATCAAGGAAAAAACGTGCGTCAACTCTTTCAACAATGGCGCGATAGTGAAGGCAATTTCTGCTACAAAAAATTCCATTCTGACGCAGCAAAACTTGATGCAGAAGAGGCAGACCTCCCGTAGCATCATCGGCTTATGATCACTTCAGACAGACCGTTTACCTGCCCTTTCTTGCTTTTGTCCTGATGGATCTTAAGGAACGCTTCATTGGAGCAGCTTCTTCATGTGTTCAATTATGCAAGCTGCTACCCCGTTGGATAAGTAAGGAGGATGCAAAGGAGGAAGATTTTGATGATCTGGTCCAGTTATACGAAGGAGTTTTTCCGCTGACTTCCCCAGCGAGTTCGAAATTTGCGAAACATGTGGCGCTTCCCCCTGTACACCGATACCCCAGAAACCTTTACAGCTGCACGCAGAGTGTGTCACAAAACCACAATGCCAGTAAATTTGCTTGCTCCAGATTGGTGCTACCCTCTCAGTGACGGTGTGCATTGCTGAGCGCTCTTTTTCGAGCATGAAACTACTAAAAAGTTACTTCCTCTCCAATATGAAGGAGGACCGACTCGCAAACTTGCCGCTGATTTAGTTCCACAGAGATGTAGAAATCAAAATTGAAGATGTCATCGAAAGATTTGCCGCAAAAAAAACAAAGAATCAATTTTGTTTGATTTTGTTTAATTTCTTATAGTAAATAAATCAATGTTTTCGTCAAAATTTTTCTCAATCCACCCCCCTCAAAAAAAAACCTAGATTTGCCCCTGATTGAAAAGCAAAAGAAAGCATTCATCATATATTGATTAAAATATATAATAACAACTCTATAAATAAAGCTTTAAGCTACGAATTTTCACATTCAGTAGTCGCCATTTCATTTTTTGTGCTGATAGTTTTTCGCCTCCGCAATTCGGTGAACAAAAATGCAATTTGTTCTAAAATTTTAAGAAGTAAATAATCTTCCAAAGAGACAAGCTGACACAGGCATTGATGCAGTTCTAACTCAAAAGCCATTTTTTGCAGATATTATTAGTTCAAAAAACGCACGGTCTTTTGTAACCATTCCACAATCCAATGTTCTCTTCTTTGTTCAAATTTTTCGAAATAACCAAATTTATCCAAAATGTTTGACATAAGACTTGGAAACGACTGAACTTCCGGAAACTACAAAAACTAACAATTTTTTTTATTTTTTTTGAATTTTTCTGTAAAGTTTTGCCAATCCTAAAGCTTGAAATTGGCAATGAACAAAAATTATTCTGGTTGTAAACTCAACAAAAATCCAAGCTCGAGGTTCAAATAATTGTTTCGAAATTTTAAAAGTTTATAAAAAATTTTGTCTTCTAATTTTTATAAACTGAAATTGTGCAGGCTTTGCTGCTTTTGATCTAAAACCACCAAACAAGCCGCAAGTTTTCGCTCATCAAAAACCGCAAAAATTGTGAATTGGGTCAAATAGTCGTGGTCTTGTCCTGAAACGAACGTAGCAAATAATGGTGTTGGTTTTAAGCATATTTTCGCAAACATTTATTGTCGCAAATACTACAACGCCTACTTCACTGTTGAGATCCAACAAAAAACTAGTTTTGTCCAGATAAAGTAGAAAAAACTTTAGACAGTCATTTGTAAATTTGAGTCTTTCGCGGCACTATTGGCAGATATTGTTTTTTTCTCGCAAACTAAACAGTTCTTCGTGGTTTGAAACTGGGGGACAAATTTTCGCGGTTTTCGGTTTCAGTGACCGCTTTATCTTAGCTTTTTCGAAAGTTTTTTTTGTTAATAAGTTAATAATCGGCTTTGTTCGTAGGCATGATATTTGTCGTAAAAATAATGTAAAATTTGATAAAGCTTTGAGTGAATTTTGCTTTGCAATCAGAATCAACACATTTGAAAAAATTCAATCTTGGATTTAGCAATTAACAAAGCTTCCTTTGTTTTTTTGTATATTTTACATACTTCTGGCGTTAATATCTTCGTCTAGTAATAATATCTAGTCTTTGGGTTTATATTTTTTCTAGATTTTCCCGCTTTTGTTCCAAATTTAGAAAACTTAATTCTGACTTGGTGATTTTGATTGTCTTGCTTCGCCCTTAAACAATTATCAACATTTGTTTGAATTGAAAGTTGCAATTTCAATGCTAAGTAAAATGAAATATAACAAATTAAGTTTTGTAAATTATTGCAGATCAAATCTGTAAGAACTATTGCAGCTTCAGAAATTTTTAGAAAAAGTTAATTTTTCTATTTAGCATCCGTAGATTTGAAGTAAAATCAATTTTTTTTTAAAAACAACAAAATTTTTCAGATTTTCTCAGAGGCACTTAGCATAGTGGTTAGGCGGTCACTCTGAGGTCGTCAGATCGTGTAATCGATCGCCCACTTTTGTAATGAGAATCTATCAGTGCGAGCTCCCATTTGACCGCTAGGTTCAGCTCTACCACAGACTGACTAATTTCGGTTGGAACAGTGGTGCCACGTCAAAGTTCTCACCACAAAAAAACGACCTTGAATTGTCGCAAAAAAACGAGCTTCGCTTAACAAAATAACTCAGGCTCGAATGCGGGGAAGCAAGAGAAACGGACTATGCTTAGACAGTTTGGATAGTTTTTCACAGGCCGGTTGCACCCCTATCAGGCATTCTCTTACCTGATAGGGGTGCAACCGGCCTGTGAAAGACTATCCAGTCTGTCTAGGCATAGTCCGTTCTCTTGTTTCCCCGCAGTCACCCCTGCATTTTCTTACCAACCCAAGGATCTCCCTTTGGAATTACTTTGTGGCATTCATTTTCGGTGACTAACCCTAATTTTTGTAAGGGTGCTTTTGGCGCCAAAAAACGCTATTTTTTTGCACAAAAAATTCCAGAAGTACCCATCAAAGGCAATTTGACCTGTTTTTTTTTAACTTGCCTGTTTTGTCAAAATAGGCTCTTTACTATTAGTCTGGGAGCATTCTGAAAAACAATTAAGTTAACTTGAAAAAAATTTGACAACCCGCCCCCCATCTTTCGAGAAAACCCTAGATCCACAACTGTTCTCCTACATTTGTTCCTTTCCGCACATTTTCATTTGTCGCTTCAACTGAGAACCTTCACTACACTTCTTGAAAACTGTGACGAGTGACTGTTAATTTTCTCCCTAAAATTTTGCGTTCTTTCAGATCTTTCCTTCCAAATAGCAAAAATGATATTTGCTTTTTGTCTTCACATGGTCGTTTTGTTTCACTGCTATTTTCAGTTTGCACTGGAAAAAACTTGGTTACTTGTAAAATTTCATGTTTGTTGCAGATCTGGCAGCTTGAAAACATTTAGCGGAAATATTTTTCATCCTCATTCGTTCTTTTATTGCCTCAAATGTCTACGGCGCCATTCAATACTAACTTTTAGTGGAACAATGAGACGTGAAATTTTTTCTAAAATGGTGATTTAAAACTAAAGTTGTTAATGTTTACTTATGCATTCATGTACATGACAGGTGAGACGTAGTGAGGTGAATGCGTTCCTGTGGGACTCGGGGCCCTCCATCTACAGCATCTTGAGTGATGTGAAAGAGAAAGAACAGTGCCAACTGGTCATCTCAGAGGTCATCGCAAGCAGCGGAGGTCAGTACCCTGCACTACAGGTCAACAAAGGGCACTAAGTTTATGATAATAAGAAATCATCGGGAAGGTTCTCATGACAGAAAAAACGGACGGCGGAAAAAATTGCAGCTAAAAAAAACTTCATTTAAATGAAAGAAAAACTCTGACAGCGTTGTCGTGATTACTTCAAATTTTTGACGCCAATTTCTAATTGGCTAATATTACTTCTTGTTTTTCAGTGCACGAGCAGATTTAGAATATTCTCGAATTTGGGTTTTTTTAATTTTGAAAATTTTCGGCCTATTCTTAGGTCATCCAAATACGTCGTATGAGCTCTCCTGAGCCAATAACGAGACCAAAACTAGACTATGATTTCGGCGCCGCAGTCAAAAATTTTGCTAACTGAGCCAAAAATACTGTTTTGCGCATTTTTTGGAATGCTTTGGTCAAAAAATCCGCATTTTATTGTATGTTGTAAAGTAGTACTAGAAGAACGAAGACCTCCACTCTGAAGACCACGCTATTGATTTGGTTTATTATTTCTGCCCCGAGTCAAATGTCAGATAGCTTAGGCTTCTGTTAATAAGTAGTTGTTTGTCGTTGTTAGGCTATGGGATCGCAGGTGCCAGGGGCACCCCGTTCATCCAGCTGGCCAACATGGCCATCCTGTCCTCCTCTCTCACCAAGTATGAGGCGGCCTATGAGAAGTGGCTGCCGGAGAGTGCCTGTGAGATCTACGAGAGGAGTGCGGTGAAAAAGCCTGGCTTTCTCTCAGGCTACACGCACCAGATCACAGCTGGTTAGTCAATGTTTTGAGATAGGGACCAGTTTTGAGTTTATATAAGTGCTATCAATTCTTCTAGATAGACACCAGTCTGAGTTTATGTAAGTGCTATCAATTCTTCGTTCTGTCTGGGGACCTGCTGCCTTGACCTTGCGATCTCTAATGTCCGATGGGATCTGAAATAAAAGAGTGCAGTAAGATTTCGATTTGATGCCTAACAGTTTGTCTACAATACAACTTATTAACAACCTTTTTGAATTTCCAAACTTACGACTTTAACATGGCGCAGCCAGCAATGAAAAAAGGAGGGGGAAAATCCATTACATATAGTAGCATTTTGGGAAACACGAACGCCGGAACCTCCAGTATATTGGGAGGAGTGGATAATTAAATTTCACTGGGGGATGATAGCAAAATACGACATTGATCCCGATGATTTCTATTTTGCGAGTACTCTAAATGCGGCGGCTATCACGGCGTTGCCTGAAGAAGTCAATGGGAAAAACCGTCTCGATTCGGAAAAGAAGTTAAAGTCTAACTTATATCTTTGTATCGGAGATGAGGCGCAACGTATATTCAAAGCACGGAAACCGACGGTTAACATTAAAACGGAACGGTACCCACGGGTCCTGGATGAGATGCAAGATGTTTTCCAACGTGAGAGGAATGTAACTCATGAGCGGGGACTCTTCTACGGACGAAAACAACGTGAGAACGAAACTTTCGAAAAATTTCATGCGGAGCTAAGCGCCCTAGCAGGAAGATGTGATTTTGCAAATGCGGCCGAAAACGTTCGTGATGTTTTCATTATGAATATGCAGGAATCGGATTGCCAACGAGAATTATCACAATCAACTAAGTTACCTGAGGAAGTTTACCGGATCGCCTTATCATATGAACGTGGTGAGCGCGCATACAAATCATATACGGGAAAACAAGCTTCATCAGCTCCGGCAATTTCAATAAAACAGGAACCAGTAAATAATATAAGAAGGGGACAAGGGTTTTTTCGAGGTCGAGGACGTGTGGGACGTGGAGGATCAGCCCAAGGATCAAGTAGTAGTGGGGGAAGCGGAAATAACCGTAGGTGTTACAATTGCGACGCGCCAAATTTTACCCTGGATCACATCGCGAGCTGTCCTGCAAAAGGAGCAACATGTAACTCGTGCCGAAAACTGGGACATTTTGAACGAACATGTCGAGGAATTAGAAGGGGTACTAACCAATGGAGAGGACGAGGACGAGTTGGATTGGTCAGGGAGGAAAATGAGCATCAACAAAGTACGCAGAACGTACATGAAATGAATGAAGACCCAGTATCGTGGGTGAATCAGCAGGGGTGCGGTGAAAATCAATCCATGACGTCGGTATCGGACGACTACATGGTAATGTCGATAAAAAGGAAGAAGAATGAGGCTGAATTGAAGATCCCTGGGGCCCGCGTTCAAGTGGAGGTGTCAGGGAAGAAGATGTGGTTGTGGATAGATAGTGGATCTCCAGTGACTATTTTCAGCATAAACGACCTAAAAACAGCGTTACGAAAAGCAAATATTCAACTACAACCGTCAAAAGAAGAATTTCTGGATTACAACAACAACCGAATAAACATACTAGGGAAGGTAACAGTGATGATGTCATTAAATGGCTGGGCAGCACCAGCACAGGTGTCAGTAATATGCGGAAATCATCAATCAATCCTAGGGCGCGACCTGATGGGCACCCTAGGTCCAACGGAAGAAAGTGATGGGAATCACAGGGGAAGGGATCAGTCAAGAGGAGGAGGAATACGACGAATTGCAAACATACTTCTGTAAGTTGTACCCAAATTTATTTACTAGGATAGGGAAGATCCGGAATGCGAAAATAAAAGCTGAATTTTTCGAAAATTTGAAGCCTATACAACAAAAAGGGCGTAGGGTACCAATCAGTCTACAAGAAAAGGTGGATAAAGAAATTCATCGGCTGATAAATGAAGGACATATCGTAAATTTACAAGAGTGCTCAGATAAGTATTTCGTCTCTCCTATCGTCATTACAGTAAAAAAGGATGGAAGTATAAAATTAGCACTAGAATCAAGAGAATTGAATAAACAGGTACACAAAAATAAGTACCAAATGCCAAATATTGACGAATTAATTGACGGAGTAAGTCAGATTATCGCGGAGAAAAAATCGGGGAATGTATATTTTACAACATTGGATTTCACATATGCGTACGGACAAGTCGCATTAGAACAAAAAACGAGCGAGCAATGCAATTTCTCACTAGTCGGCGGAAAGTTTACGGAGACTTATCGTTTTAAAAACGGATTTTACGGACTTACGTCAATGCCGGCGGAACTCCAGAAGGTAATTGATAATTTAATTAAGGAGTTCCCCCAGGCTAACGCGTTTATTGATGATATCTTAATTGCTTCAAAAGGAATTAAAATCGAACACATAGCGTTGGTGGAAAAGATATTGAAAAAACTGGACGTCTCCAATGTCGCGTTAAAATTGCGAAAATGCGAATTTGCGAAAACGGAGTGCGAATGGCTTGGATTTCGAATTGGGGAAAGTGGTATAACGCCCTTAGTAAGAAAAACACAAGCAATAGAAGACTTGAAAACCCCAAAATCTCGAAAGCAGTTGAAATCGTTGATGGGTTCACTACACAGCTTACACAAATTTTCACCCAAACTCGCCGAATTAAGCGCACCGTTAAGGCCATTTTGTCTGGACACCCGTTTGCGAAAATGCGTTCCAACAATTAAAATTGCTTGTGGAAAATATTGTCGAATTACGACATTTCGACATTCACCGTGAAACTAGAATTATTTGTGATGCTAGTCACGATGGCCTAGGGGCCGTCTTAGAACAGTATGGCGCATCCGGGTGGCACCCGATTTCGTTTGCATCCCGTTACCTTAATCCGGCTGAAAAAAAACTCCACAAACGAATTAGAATTACTCGCGTTAGTGTGGGCCACGGAACATTTTCGGAATTATATATACGGTCGGTATTTCACAGTGATATCTGACCATAAAGCGCTACTTACCTTGTTGAATGCGTCACCGAAAGGAAATAAAACATTTTTCAGTCGATTAACTCGATGGTATGTTCAACTGGTGCCATACGACTTGAAAGTTGAACATAGACAGGGGTCAAAAATGGGAATGGCTGACTATTTGTCTCGGTTTCCGTCCGCAGAGGCACCCGAGACAAGTCATTACGATGAAAATTTTACAGTGGCAAAGATAAGAATGATAAACGCGGCGTTGAGACCCAAAGATAAAATGAAGCCTAGGGGTCAAGAAGTGAATAACAATAAGCAAAAACCGACGGTAGGGGCGAACAGTCATGTTTCGACACAACGAAATCAGCTTCATCCAATGAGAATAAAAGAGAAGGCGATTATGCAAATATTCACCGTGAGCACAAACGCTCAATAGAGGGCGTGTTTACATGCAACCGACGGTTAACCAATCAGCGTCGAGATATTTGCATACCGGCGGAAATATGCAAATACCGAAGAACGAGATTCAGACTTTGTTCTCATTGCTTAAATTACAGTTGCAAACATAAAAAATTGAATCAATACTCACGAAACCCTTCCATTTCAACTAACTACAATTGCAAGCCTTCTGCGTCAAAAATTTACAGTTGCAAACCATCCGTCTTACAAGATTACAGTGAAGAGCCACTTACTTTGAAAAATTACAGGATTAAAAATTATAGTGATAAGCCAGTTACTTTGAAAAAATACAGTAGCAAATCCGAGAGAAATAACTTGAGTAACCCAAAATATACAAAAATGAGTAATTCGCCAGAGAAAAATGATCCTCCAACTTCGGCAAAAGTCAACATGTCAACTAATTTGGGAAATGTTAATCTAAATGTTGTACTGAACCGCCTAAGTCATCCTCCTAGCGTTAGTTCGGATTCCGATATTGAAATGATACCACCCGAAAAACTTGATATCAAACGAACTAATTCCAAAAAACTAAATACAATTATATCTTTTCCACATCAATTCCCCAGTTTATTGTACCCACTTGTACAAAATGAAAAATGGATCTATTCTATAGTGCCGTCGGATAGTAAAAAAGTGAAGAAAATTGAACACCCGGAAGTTTTGAATTTAAAATTGATTGAAGCAAACATTGAAAAAGACCCAATTATGAAGACCATCCGAGACAACATCAGAGACAGGAAACCACGAGCAAAGGAGATTATTACAAGATTAGGACAATATTACGCCCAGCATTACAACAATTTCGCAGTACGTGAGAGTTGCCTGTGGATGGACGGCCGGTTAGCAATACCGAAGGACCTATCATCAGCAATTCTGAATCGATTACATTAAAACCATCATGGGCGGGATAAACTGTTCGCGGCCGCAAAGGACGTGTGGATTCCCCTTATGCACCGAAATATCGCGGCCACAGCTAAATACTGCAAAAGTTGCTTAAAAGCAGGTAAAAACCTGAAACCGGACATTCCGAAAAGTGACATGGGGGAAACGTATGTTCCTAAGGAACCAAATTATTTGGTCCAATTAGATTTCTGGGGTGCAGTAAACTATGTAAGGGGTCGGAAAAAGTATGTACTTGTAGCAGTAGATACTTTCTCGCATTGGCCGTCGGCGTATGTTTGTTCAAGCAATAAATCAAAAAATGTATTGAAGTTCCTAAGGAAGTACATAAATACTCATGGACACCCAAGGAAATTGCACATGGATCAAGCCACGGGTTTTTTCTCTAACGAAATTCAAAATTTCTGTAACAACGAAGGTATCGAACTAATTAAATCTCCGGTTAGGGTCCATCGCGCAACAGGAATGGTTGAACGGACTATTGGTTGAACGAAAAAATTACGTGTTGACTTATCTCCAGGAAAATAAAAATTACAAGTTTGGAGCGATGATATCCCGTGCGCTTAGTGCATTACGTTTTGTGCCACATTCGAAAACTAAACTAACCCCGTTCGAAGCATACCATGGTCCAGAAGCAAATACGGCACTGCGAAATTTAACGAAAAAACCGTTATTGAAAAACTTAAATTGGAACAATGTTGTTATTCAAAAATTATCTTGTTTAGACAAGGCGGGAAACCTCCCGGAAGTTGAACTTACCCTAGATTGGGAGAAGAGAAGTGACTTAGTGTACGCCCGTCAAAATAGGAAAGCTCCAATCATTTTGGATGATGACATGGTAGCGGATCCCAAGGCTCCGGAAGTTGTTGACCCCAAGGAACACAGCCCACCCAAGACCCCAACATGGCTGAAAAAGCGTAAAACAAGTTCAACGACGGTGTATCAGAGGACCGGGAAGACGGATCCAAAGGACCCAAGGAGGTTTAAACGTTTGCCATTAAAAATTGAAATATTGACTGAGCATACGGTGCAAATGGAAAAAGGGTCGTTACTAAGGCGGAGTGGTGTGTCTTTTAGATCGGCGCCTGAAGAAAGCCTAATTGGGAATAGAAGCGAGGAGTGCACCCCTGGACCGAGTAGAAACGTAACTAGTAAACCGGCCCCAAGCGAATCAAACAAGTATAAGCGAAAAGCCGAGAAGGACCGAACCGCAATGGAAAATGCAAGAAAATCGACAAAACAGCGAATAGTGGAATACTCGGCGCACGAGAGCGAGGAAGACGACGACGACTACGATAGTGAGTGGGAAATCGGACGAAGGGAACCAACCATAGGTGCGGCGAACGAAGGACAGGATGTACCGTCGGTTTGGGAGAATTCACCACGATCCGTCGGTGGAAAACGAAATAAAAATCAGTACGAAACGGCGACGCGGAAATCAACACGGCAGAGACGCGGAGTTGACAAAATGGGGGGGTTATGATCCACCGCATAGAACATAAATGAGGGAAACGACAAGAAGAGAAAAATGAGAAAAGTAAACCTTAAGAGAGGTTTGGCGGGTGAGAAAACTCAACGAAAACTAAAAACTTAACTAGTACATTTATACAATACCAAACAGTAACAAAAAGTTGATAAATTTTATCTACGCTAAAATTTATTTGTGGTTGCCCGAATGAGATAGGGACCAGTTTTGAGTTTATGTAAGTGCTATCAATTCTTCTAGATAGACACCAGTCTGAGTTTATGTAAGTGCTATCAATTCTTCGTTCTGTCTGGGGACCTGCTGCCTTGACTTTGCGATCTCTAATGTCCGATGGGATCTGAAATAAAAGAGTGCAGTAAGATTTCGATTTGATGCCTAACAGTTTGTCTACAATACAACTTATTAACAACCTTTTTGAATTTCCAAACTTACGACTTTAACAGTTTCTGCGACCATTTTGATCATCTGGCCCAGGGGCGGATCTAGGATTTTCTCGAGGGGGGCGGGCGGATTTTCAATAAATGTTCGAAAACTTTATCAACCTTTTTTTAGGTCGACCAAATTGATTTTCCGAGTTCTCCCAAAGCATCAAAAAATACCTGTTTTGGTCAAATTTTCTGCGCCCCCTAAATCCGCCCCTGATCTGGCCTGCCATCCAGCTCCACTCCTTTATCCAGACTTTGGCGACTCGAGAATTTCCAGTAGTGATCTTTTATCCGCATGCTTTCGCGACTTAAAGCCCTGTCAAGAATATGATATTTCGATCGCGCACTGACAAGCGACGCTTATTTCAGAAAAAAATTTCTTCCACATGTTCCCATAGTTCCGACATAATTGCCATAGTTGCCATAGATTGGCTTTACATTTCAAGTGTGGTTTGATACATACTTTAAATTAGAAACTTGCAGATCAATTAGAATTTGTCAAGGTTTCCTATTGAATAGCAAAAAAACTTGCGATACACTAGGCACAATAATTGACCATAAAAAATTCTACGACCAGGTGCCACAAAAAATTTCACAAGACTGAAGTTTTCGTTTTCAAAAGAAATAAAACAATGGCTATAGGCCAAAAACTGAAAAAAGAAGCCTACATAACTAGAAAACAAAGTTTTATGTTTTTTGTTTAGTGAAAAACTTCGAAAACTATTTAAAAAAACTTTCGAAAACTATCAGAAAACTATCATGTAACTTAAAAAATTATTAAAAAAAAATGTTTAAATTCGGATTTACTTGTCTTTAACACTGATTAACTGTTTTAGAACACGCCACGGGCATCTTGTACGTGTTGATAGCTGGGATGATCCTGGGTGGTGTGCTGCTTCCCTTTGAGACCCATTTATACGAACGCTACTCGGCCTACTTCCGTGGAAATCGTGCGGAGGCCATGTGGGACAAGGTGCTGGAGTCGGTCAGTTGCCCTGTTCTAACTCTTTTCGAACTTAACGAAAAACTTTTGGGTAACTAATCAATTTTTTTGCACGGAAACTTAACCTAAGATGTCATCTTACCAAATCTTTATCTTATATCGTTTTTCGTTTCAGGGGAAATGGAAGTTTTTCTTTACAAATGTTTTCTTATTACTTAGATTCGCAACAAGGTACAAAACTGCATTAGTTTATTATAGGGGGAGGTTAGTTACTAGGTACTATTGGGGAGAATAGTAACTAGGTGGTTGTTAGGGGAGCAGTGACGAATTGGCTATGTCTCCTCTTCTCGATCGAAGGATCGGATGTTCGAGGCCCACCATGATCCATGCTCGTTGCTTGAGGGTGAGGCAATATTGCCCAGCCCAGAAAAATAACCAAAAAATAGTTGGATGTAGTTATGAAGCATGGGCGCAACAGCGGCTCGCCGTGATGAGCTGTACAGCTTGTATGTTGGACCTTTCCCTCGAGGATAAATGGTATTAACTTATGTGTAAAAACTCATGGAGACTTCTCGTTAAAGGGTACCATAGGGGAGATTAGTTTACTAGGTACCATAGGGGGGAGATAGTTAAAGAGATCCCAGTTTTGTCCTTTCAGAAGCGTGGCATTTTGATGAGTGACGGAGAGAAGAACGAAGTGCTGACTCAGAAGGTGGTGAGACTAAGGGGCGAGAGGGAGACGCTGAACGAGACCATTCACCAACTGCAGACTCAACTCAACTCTGCCGAGAGGGAAAACGAAGGGTCACTTTACTATACCATACAGTTCCAACAATTGTTGTTTTTCTATAAGCTAGTTTTCTAATTCATGGATGCGTTCTTAAGGTGCTTACTTTACCAAATCCAACCTCAAACTAATTTTGAAATAAATAACCCCTGAATGCCTAAAATTTTAAGGCTTATTAAAGTGTGCAAAAACAGTTGAACAAGTCTTCAAAGTGGTAAATCTTCAAAGTCTTCATTGTGAACTAACTTTGCGTCCAATGTTATCGGGAACGTTAAGATGCACTACAAATGAGTCATCCCCGGGTCGAGGTCCCGACTTAAGAAAAAACCGGTGCGACCCAAAAATATATTGGCAATTCCAGACCGGCGCGACCAAAACTTGGCAATTGAAGACCGGCGCGACTGAAAAAAATACACCGCGACTGGCGCGACTCAAAGAACCATCGGGACCGGCGCGACCGGCGCGACTGAAAATTATCAATTCCGGACCGGCGCGACTGAGAATAAACTGCCGCGACATGCGCGACTGAGCGAAATACCAAAAGTCTTTTCTGAAGTCGCGCCGTCGGCCTTATCTTAAGCCGCGCCGCTTTGGTCTTTTCTTCTTAGTGTGGCTAGGCCAAAGATGATACTTCAAAAGATGGAACTCAGTTTGAAGTTCTGTGCATCAGAATGAAAAAAAATACTATAAATTTATGGAAACAATTTTTGCCGACTGACCCTGAAAGTTTACTAGGTCTACAAAATATAGTAAATGTGGAAGTTCACGAGAAAACAATCTGAAATGATGTTCGTTTTTTAGGCTACGAAGTAAGTTGCTGCATGTGCCACAGCCAGCTGTCGCTACTGTACACGAAGAAGATTTCTTATTTGACTGCGAAGATGCTCTGTTGGACAACACGGAAAGCACTAAGCCGATACAATGATTCAACCAATCAAACGTTGATTAGTGGCAACTCTACATACAGAACTACATACTCTGAATTATTGTACTTTATTTGCGCGGATGTTCTTCGTGTAAATTATAACAATTTTTCCGCAAAGTAGCAAAAAGTTTTCAGCACCATTCAATTTTGCTGATTCAGACAACCCCGGGTTGAGCTTACATTGAAAAGTAGCTATAAAAAGTGGAAAAAAAACAGCGATCGTCATTGATGATTTCTCGATGTTCATTTCCACAAAAGCAAGTACATTTTATTGATAGATTTACGCTAATTTGGCTAATTTTCAGTGATGAAACAGCAATAAAAACCTATCAAAATGAGCAAAAGCTGTGAACTACTGAAGTTTACATGAATCGGCACTGGAAAATAGCGATCACTGGAATACGGCAGAAAAAGTGATAATTAACGGTGGGACTTCAACCCGGTACCACAATAAGATTGCTTGAAACAAAAAAAAGTTGGGTTGCGTTCAGTAACCAGATGTGTCAGCAAACTACCAGATCAGTAAACCGGGTTATGTAAAAACTACATCAATTGCGGAATAAAAAAAAACTGTGAACAGCTCTTGGCAAGAGCATTATTATTGTTCCGACTTTCGAGGTCTTCTGCACTAAACGGCCCAAATTCAATTTTTCAATTTCTTGAAATGAAAATCATGCGGGCGAATCTGATTGGCTAATTTCATTTAAACGTTTTTATGAACATTTCCAGCAGATTAAAATATTAGCCGAATTTATGGAAAAAAGGAACTTTATCGAATAATCGAATCAAAATAAAGTCGTTACTAAAACTTTGCCAGGACAAGAATAATTCAGTAAAACGGCTTCAACAGAACAAAAAAATATAATTTTGTTAATTTCGGCTGACAATTTTATTGGCTTGAAACTTAAAAAAAATTATAAAATGTGTTGTAGGAAGCTTATTTGCCATGATTCATTTGTTAATAGGAGCATTGATCTATCACTTTGTGTTTTATATGGCGTGTGGGGGATGATTTTTACAAAAAATTTCAAATTAAAAAAACATATATTTTTTTCACACTTAATTTGTTCTTGTTATTACTCCTATATAGACCTTAAAAGGCAGTCAGTACATTCGGGGCTTCGCCCTGGTACGAGCAGTATTTTTAAAACTAAGTTGTTGCTGTGAGGAAAAGTTTTGTCTTATTGTACAACTCTCAGTTCTAAAATAATGTGGTTACGTCGCGATTCCACGACCATTGAATTTGATTTCATCAGTGGCTTTCCATTTTTTGTTAAGAAAAAGTAGGTTCTTTTCATTCTCAGGAGTCAATAAGTGATAATACCTAAGTCAAGAAGGTCTTTTTGGTTTACTGATTTGATTCGCTTCTATTCGGTTTAGTGGCATATCGTTTTACAGACCTACCGCCAAAATTTCTTTTATTTGATAAAATTAATTCGTTTTGAATAACTCAAGAAAATCAATTTGTTCTCGCAAAACACAAAAACCAGACAAAAACACAAAAATACTTTACAAATCAAAATAAAGTCGTTACTAAAACTTTGCCAGGTCAAGAATAATTCAGTAAAACGGCTTCAAGAGAACAAAAAAATATAATTTTGTTAATTTCGGCTAACAATTTTATTGGCTTGAAACTTTAAAAAAAATTAAAATGCCCAACCATGCTGTTCGAATTTGATTGATTAATTAGCCAAAAAGTTTCAACCACAAAAAATTTAGTTCAAGATGTAGAAACAATGACATTGGGCCGTTTAGTGGGCCGTAATAAGACCTGATTTTCGTTACGAAAGTAATGGAGTATTTGTGCTTGGGGTGGTTTTTTTCTTCAATCAAAATTCAACTTTTTAACTGGCCGTTTTTGATGGAAGTTTTTTTATATACTTCGAAAAGTTTTCTTTTCTTGAGCTTAAATTTTATGAGAGATAATTCACCTGTGATCATTTTTCTGAAAATTATGGGTGTTGAAAGAGTGACATTTTGGCCAACTTGGGACAGTTAACGCGCGATATATTTCGCGCTATTAACGCGTAAGCGGAGAATTATTCCGCCTTAGTGATCGTTCCAAATGTGTTGTAGGAAGCTTATTTGCCATGATTCATTTGTTAATAGGAGCATTGATCTATCACTTTGTGTTTTATATGGCGTGTGGGGGATGATTTTTACAAAAAATTTCAAATTAAAAAAACATATATTTTTTTCACACTTAATTTGTTCTTGTTATTACTCCTATATAGACCTTAAAAGGCAGTCAGTACATTCGGGGCTTCGCCCTGGTACGAGCAGTATTTTTAAAACTAAGTTGTTGCTGTGAGGAAAAGTTTTGTCTTATTGTACAACTCTCAGTTCTAAAATAATGTGGTTACGTCGCGATTCCACGACCATTGAATTTGATTTCATCAGTGGCTTTCCATTTTTTGTTAAGAAAAAGTAGGTTCTTTTCATTCTCAGGAGTCAATAAGTGATAATACCTAAGTCAAGAAGGTCTTTTTGGTTTACTGATTTGATTCGCTTCTATTCGGTTTAGTGGCATATCGTTTTACAGACCTACCGCCAAAATTTCTTTTATTTGATAAAATTAATTCGTTTTGAATAACTCAAGAAAATCAATTTGTTCTCGCAAAACACAAAAACCAGACAAAAACACAAAAATACTTTACAAAAGTAAAATAGTTGTCATAAAGTTCAATTGCTTCAAAATTTGGTTTCATTTTTCAAACTAAAACTTGAAACAAACTCAGTTACAAACTTAGCAACAAAGAGGATAATTGCTGTCAAACAAAACCTCGGTGGATTCAGGTCTCGCCGGAAAAAAGAAACTCTAAGAAATAATATAAAAAATAACTATTCTTAAAAAGCATTCTTAAAAACAATTTTGTGTGATTTAAAAAAAAATGGCAATTTTTGATAAACTCGTGATCGTTTTCAGATATTTGAGAGTGCCTCAACTAAAAAAGCTACTTTGATTTTTTAAAAAATGTAGTCCCAAGTCTCCAATTTATCGTTTATGATCTCAACAAACACTAAAACAGGACAGAAATTATAAGAAGTAAATGCTGGGTCATACATGTCGACTGTTTTCAATTTAACTTTTGATTTCAAATAAACTCCTGTGCGATACTCTAGAAAATGAACTCCTATACAATCTATCAAAAGTGTGATACTCTAAAGAACCCTCTAAAGTGTGATACTCTGATGTGAGAATAGCAACAAATTGTTTTTAATCTTTAATCCATTTTCTCAGATCATCTGTTCTGTTCTTGTTGATAATGAGTTGCTGAGTTTTGCTCTAGTATAAGAAAACTGAACAGCGTAATGTTGTACATAGGATTAGATCCTAATGAACCTGATCTGATAACAAAATACGTTCAATAACAAATAAGTAACAAAAGAATCAAGGGTTCTGCCTGAGCAGTACCACACTCCCCTAACGACGGGGAAAAATTTAGCACCTTATAACAAATAAAGTTTTATAATAATTTTAAGAGTTTAGGTCTCAGTTTTGCATTGCAAAAATTATTTAATTTTTTTTTTCAGATTCTTAGTTCATCTCTGTTTCTATTTCCCGACATGGGTTCCAGCTAGCATCCGCATCCGAGGTCCTGTATCCATAATTTCTTCGGATTAAGTGGCGCTCCAGTTGTGTCAATCTCGATTCGACAGGTACTGTAGCTCGTTATGGCCTCCTTCAGTCGATTTACGCGTGACTCCATTTTCTCAGAGTCTGTAGAGGTGAGCCTCGATGGTTCTTTGCTCTTGTTTGCTGGCGAGTTTCTTCTCACGCTAGTGTCCTCTTGGCTCGATTAATCCAAAAATTCTAGCGGTAGCTCAAATTTTTCCTCTCCTCTCTCTTTCGGGTTCTTTCGCAATCCTACCTCGTCCTGAATTTTCGCAGGACGAGGCCTGCCAACAGTTCCTATTCCTCCGGTGCCAGATTGTGCTTCTGAAACCTGTCCAGTTTTTCAACTGGCCTTGCTTTCATGTCAATCTTCTTCATGTCTCGCTTTTTTCAATGCTTCCGTCTGCTTGCTCAATTTTCCGGATCCACTGTTGTATCCATTGTTGCTGATTCTCTTTGTCTTGTCCCTTCTACATCTGCTTTTTTTGTTTTGACTGGGTCTTGTCTGACTGTTTCAGCAGCTTTGTTTCGTCTTGTCCCTTGGACCGTTGGCTTCGTTCCATCTTCTATGGGAATACTTCATCTTGGGTTTTGGGTTCAAATGGTTTTGGTCTCACAGTATTCGGCTTTGCCCGCTTCACCGCGAGGCTTAGTCCACCTCCAAAGCTTGTTCTCTTAGACGTAAGTAAGATTCGATTTCTGTTTTCTCTACTGTGTCCCTTACCTCTGGTTATCATCTTTCATCTCTTTATATCTCTCTCTCTCTCTCTCTCTCTCTCTCTCTCTCTTTCTCTTCTTCGCTGTCTTCAGACGGCGACGTCTCAACTCGTAAGAATTCGCTTTTCGGCTCTGTCAATCAAACCTAGCAAAAAAGAACGTCAAATGAATGATCCAAAACCAAATCCATATAACGATATACTTTTCGAGCCATCAAAAAAACAGGAAGTTTTCAAAAATGGGAAAGTTCACATCACAAATCCCGTCCCAGCTTTGATATGATACACGATTCATGAAACTCTCCTGCACCTCATAATGAAGTTTTAAATGTCGTTTGCAGTGTGATTCCAAATTTTAGATCTCTCAAGCGGCTAATATTTCCTCTTCGATTCATCAGAGCAACTTTGACGCACGATCAACGAATTTGTTCAGGTCATGGGTTGCCTACTTCTGTTTTGAGTAAAAGTTCGCAAGTTAGGATGTCGTCATCTGCTGAACGAAAAACTGTGCGCGCTAAACCTGGCGGGCATATCGCTGCGCGTTTTGTCTGGACTGCACAGCCTGATCAACTTCTTCGTGTGTATATCACTTTAAGTCTCATCTTTTCCATCTCAAGCGCAGGGCTTGTAGTTAAAAACATAAAAAATGCCACCGTAAATGCGAAAAGGCGCTTCCTCGGTTTCAGGTTTGTTTCGTTGAAAGTTAGGAGGGAAAATGATTTCCTTATGGATCCAAGAGGCAG